CTCCTAATCTGATTTAATCATTATAAGAATAAGTCTCGATGTACAGTCCCAGCGTGCTGAGTCAAAATGATGAAAAAATACCCAGGACTGATGTGTCTTCTGGTTGCTTGACTTTCAGCAAAATGGGTTCTAACACTTTGGATACCGAAAGAAACAGTTCGCTTGGCTTCTCGAATAAAACATTTTAACTAGGGTAAAAGTAAGGTTTTCAAAACCTGATAAAAAATCTATAACGGGAATTTGGTCTATCGACGGTTTGGATATTAATAAAATCATCACGGAGTAGATTTGGATTACTGCAGATGGGGTCACTAACTATAGGGGCGGTAGTGTAACCATTTATGTTTGAGGCAATCTACGGATGCTTTTATCAGTTTTTCGACTTTTCAGCATAGAAAAAGCTGGGCAGCCGTCAATGGATGCCTCAGAGCTCACAAAGGTCAGTTAGTGAATGGTAACAAGAAGAGCTTAGAGTGGTTGTGGTCCCATAACAGGAGAAAAAGCGGTGGAAATAAAAGGATGCTCCATTTTCTACACCAGGACAATTAGGAAATGGAAACAAGATCTAGTTTAACCGCAGTAGAGTGTCTGTCTGTTTTGAGCAGGTTTCTCCCGCCAGGAAAAACCAGTGGCACACTAAATGATGTCACCCTTAATGCTCCTTAGGTGAAACCAGTTCAAAAACTCATTCTAAATATTTGCAGCTGGGAGTGAGGACACCCGGGATGATTTGTTTCTGTGAGCGGTGATTTATTTGGCGAACATCTCAGTGTCAAAATAAATAGTATCATTAGGGTATCACAAGCAAGTGATTAAATTGGTTATGCCTAAGTATTTTGTGCGCACTTCTTTGCCAGAGTGTGATCTAATTGGTCACCTGCAGGTCGCGTAGACTTACGCTGCACCAGACTGTCTGACTTCCAGACTCTATACGTCTCGGACAGGCATGCAATGATGCGGTTGACTGACTTTTTCTGTTAGTTAGCAGTGTGTCGAGGTCACCGCGTTGTGATTGGCCATTCTTTTTAGGGGCCCTGCACTGAAACAAACTCCCAATGAGTAAGTCATCATGAGGACCTGGAAAAAATGTGAACCTACGCTAAACAAATAATCTACAGGAATCCACGAATCCGAACACAGCAAAACACGGACGCAAGCAGAAGTGGGATCACCGGTCAAGGGCATCACTTTGTTTCATCTGCAACCAAGCAAACTCTTGCACCCAACCAACCACTGCAAAGGGAACCTATTTCTTCAGCAAAATTTAACCATTCAGCGGTAGCAAGGAATACTGTAACGGTTAGAACAAATCAACCAGACGGCCTGGTGCATTACACCCCAAATAACAAGTACAAATGAGTCAGTTAGATCTATTACGACTTTTGTCACGACAGTAAAACACAGAGTCAAGTGCTTAGAGAAGGGCGATCTTGACAAATTTGTCGGCAGAATATGTTAGTAAATCTCAACGAAACAAACTCAGTACACCGCAGGTTACTAGAAGAAATCAGTCAACCACATTGTTTTTACACCCCTCTGGGACGTACGGAGGTCGGAATCTAGGCAGTCTGGTAAGCGTAAGTCTACGTGATCTGCAGGGGACCAACTAGATTACACTCCCACAAGGTAGCACGCCTAAAATAGTTAGACATAACCAATTTACTCACTCGCTCGTGAAGCCCTAATACACGATTGATGCCATTTAGTTTGGCGCTAAGATGTTTGCCAAATAAAATCACAGTTCACAGAAGAATCCTCTCTATAAACAGTTCTTATTACGAGGGATACAGCCCTCGTGTCATCCAGGGCTGTCACTGTTGATTGAGACCACTGCAGAACCATTGGTTATCCAGTTCAACTCCTCTCCATTTTAGGCACAGACTCCTGGTGACTGAAAGTATGCCACAGTTTGTTCTTGGTGTGAAGCAGGCTACTGAAATTCAGTGAGCGGATGCCAACAAACTATACTCACCACAGTTGGTAATGAGAGTCTGGAGCAGGTAAAACCAGATCAGCCAGCAAAAATCTGCAAACACATTACCTGCTGGCATATAGGCGAGATAGAAATCGGGCCAAACGCTGCTGCTCAAAAAGTTTATACTCAGTTGTGGAGGATTCCTCAGCCAACGGGCAATCAACCCTGTGTAGACACAAAGTCTCCTGGCTTCGGAAATGTTCGTGACGATGTATCCCATGCAGGATTCATCAAAAAAGCTAGACAGATTCATCGCCGATAACACAATACAGGCTAGGCTTCAAGCTGAAATTTATTTATTAACCCAGTCGTATGGGCCATACAGTTTATAAATGGGATTTTTAATCTGAGAATTGAACAGTGAAAAGTGATTGGCAAGCTGGATCTTTTTCCTTTGCCCTGTCGTTGGCAAAAAATGGACTAGCCGGTATCTTTCATGTCGTGAATAACGACTCCGATGTGATTTATCTGGCCTGTTTACACCCTTACGCTCTCATCATCATAAATGTCATCAGAAAAAGGTAAAAAAGCCATAGTCAACTCATCTTGGAGTGGAGTGGGACCATTGCCTCGAGTGATCAACGGCTGAATTACACCTAAACAAGTGTTAGCTCCTTCAGTAAACACATCATAGAAAAAACTCGATCCTCACAGTAACAAATACTCCGAATAATACCACAGGCTGTTAACCTTCTTTCTTTATCATTAAGGAAACTGAAGACCGAAAGAAAAGACAGGAGGTCGTTCCAGTTCAACCCAGCCGAAAGGCTTGAGGTAAACCCTAGAAACCTTTGCCGATTCATGGCAAAAAGAAAATCGACAAGCCAAGGAGCATGTTTCACAAAAGGTCCGAACGGAGAAAACCTTTCTGGACAGGAGATTGCTTAAATGCCGAGCACCACATTTGACACACAGTTAAACATCCCATCAAGGGAGTGAGCATACCAATTGCATGAACAGCCCCCAACGTTACCCGATGCTACTGAGTTACACGAAATACAGATAACTCGCACTGTTATTCTCGACAAGCTTTCAAAGTTAAGCGCGGGAAAATCCCCGGGGTGTGACGACATTCGCCCGTCTGTGTTGAAAGAATGTGCAAGTACTCTAAGTGGCTCACTCTGCAACCCATCCCAACACTCCTTGGATGACAAAAAGCTCCCACGAAAGTGGAAACGGGTTGTCCTTTCCCCCATCTTCAAAGGAGGAGACAGACAGAATCCCAACTGTTATAGACCCATAGCACTTCTACCAGTAATATCAAAAGTAATGGAAAGTGTGATGGACCACCGTATCGGAGAATATCTGGACACCAAGCGGGCACTCAGTGACGCTCAACATGGCTTCTGGAAGGGCAGGTCCTGTGCCTCCAACCCCCTGACGGCCCACAATCAATGGACAGCATGCTGGGATCTCAAGGTCTCGGTCCACATAATTTTTCTGGACTTCACCAAAGCCTTTGACACCGTCTCACGCCATATTCTAGCACACAAGATAGCTGGGTTCGGTACTGGCAGCCAGGTGCTATCGTGGCTGCAGAACTACTTAGACAACAGGGAGTTCTGCACGAAAGTCAACAGGGTCTACTCACCTTAGAGAACATCCTCATCCGGTGTCTCACAAGGAGCGATCTTGGGCCCACTGATGTTCCTACTGTTCGTAAGTGACTTGCCGCAACATATCAGCTCCCCGATTCCCCTATACGCTGATGATGTCAAGTTATGGAGGGCAATAACTTGCGAGGCGGAATCTATGGCATTACAGAAGGACCTCAGAACACTAGAGGAGTGGGGAACTAATAACGAACTGGCATTTAATCTGGGTAAGTGCCGGTCCATGTTTTTCTGCACTCCTGATCCCCAGGAAACATCCTACTATCTCTGTGGTTCAAGTCTATCCCTTACCACAGTAGAAAAAAACCTAGGTTTGACGGTGACGGAGAAACCGGACACCAGTTACAATTACCCGGGTGATGTCTCAAAAGCATATGGGGTACTACACTTTGTGCGTAGACAACTGGGTGCCCTCACCCCAGAACTCTTTCTGAAGCTCTACAAAACTTACATACGGCCCCACTTAGAGGTCCATGACGTCTTCGCTCCACCACAGCTGGAAAGAGGCGCAAACTTACTGGAGAAAGTCCAGAGGCGAGCCACAAAAGGGGTTGTTGAAATGCAACGAAAACCATATGAGGATAGACTCAAAGACCCAGGTCTATACTCTCGTAGCTATCGAAGCATACGTGGCGACTTAATGATGGCTTACAAAATAGTGAGTAACCCAAGTCACCCAAACAGAGGAGTCCTGCTGAGTGACCACTACGAAGATCCTCGAGGAAACCGCAATAGAATGGCACACCAGAGGCCGAAAATGCATGTGCATTCACAGCTCTTCTCCCTCCGAGTCTGTGGGTACCGGAACGCACTACCAGCAGAGGTGGCCTCCGCCCCAACTGTTGAAAGCTTCAAGAAGAGGCTAGACAGTCACGCAGAGACTCACGGTCTACCCACGCACTGCTGGGACACCAAGTGATGTCAAGCCACCCCAACCTGTTTTCTTTCTATTATAACCATTTAAGCCCTTTTCACCCCTTCCACTTGCCATAAGTTAGACTCACCTAAGTTCTTCATACCTTTGCACCCCTACTCACCTTACTTGGGTGTAAGTAGATTACTCCATTAGTTCACTTTTCCCCTTTTCTTTTACTCACACAAACACTTTCTAGGTTTTCGCTTCACTATCCCCAACCCTCTCTAGCAACCAGTCCTCACAACTGTATGGCAACTTGGCATCTGAAGAAGCCAACTTCACCACAGTCCAAGGCAAACAAACCAACACTTAACTTATTGTTCTGTAAATCAGAGCTATAGCAGACGAGTGGCTGGACCTACTGCATCGGAATCCGCCAAAGATCTGGAGCCGTTCCACAAGACCAAGAAGCGAGTGCGAAGAAATCAACTGGTTTACACAAGCTCGTTAAAAAGATGTTGGATATTGGAAGTAATGGTTATTTCAAATTGTCAAGGTGAAGGTAATAATCGTGCCAGCAAGGCAAGTTGACGATATACCCTAGAGCTTCCTGTGAATCATATCTGTTTGTACTATCTTCTGACTAGAAAGTAGTTGTATTAAGCATTATTTTTATCTTTGTAACCAGCAACTACAAATTGGAACTGCTTTCTCATGATACGTATAAAGTATATCACCCAATCAACATTTACGCAGAGCAAAACGAGGGAACATTTTGCTAATTGTGAAGGAAACTCGGGGCAGAATAGCGCACCTCCCCTGTTGTCTCGTCTTCCGTTTCCCTCAAAGTTCACCGCGTTTTTATTTCATAGCCCCTAGTTTTGCCTCCTGTTTCCCGCAATTCGCCCTGCACTTTTCCTTCCTCACGTTTTGCCCCTTGTTTAAAAAACAACCCCTCGTTTTCCATTGTTTTTCCGTGGAAATGTTGACTGGGTCAATTACTTTATGATGACCTAAGACGACCCTTCCTGTTACCAAGTTCTGAAAACTGCATTACAAATAATAGTGCACTGAACGACTTGAATATCTCCAGTTTGATAAGCTTTTTTGACGATTTCTAAGTGCCTTTGTTAGTCGAGATATTAGCGAATAGTGCAGGAAAATACCAGGAAGTCTCTTGACGCTGTCTTTGAATATATTCGTGCGCTATAAACACATGCATATGATGTTGGAGGATTCATTACCCAATTCATACGGCTTTTTGACTTCTCGTAACATTAGTTTGTTATTAACCAATGTTGATTAGTAGTCCATGCACCTTCACTCAGTATAGGTATATGTACTAGACTCAGCCGCACTTAGTCCATGAGGGCTTTCGATACTACCAGGTTTCTTGGGATTAGAGATAGAGTGCGGTTTAAATCTGAGAACTAGTGTCTGAAAGTCAGCTGTTTAGGCCAATGAGCTGCACCTTCCTCTTTAACTGATTGCTACTGTCTTGATATGGTGATTGGGCTTACTCATTTCAGTGGCTCAAGAAACTTCCAGCTGGAACAATTTCTCTAGATCTTGCACCACTTAAAATTATGGTGGAATAGTGGTATGTCTAAAAACAGTCGCTATCCTAGTTTAAATATCGTATGGTGGGGTTCAAAGGGAAAAGTCGCGCCACTTGCTTTATGGGTCTTGGTAGCAGTAGGGTGTTCCCCTTAGATAAGGAATACCGTAACATGATACTACCTTCCTTTTATCATAGGTGTCTTCCCAGCAAACTGCTAAAAGTTGTTTGGGTGTTAAGCAAGTGTCAAGCATCCGTTTTCACCTGGCTGAATAAGTATATCAATGTGCACCGAATATTGCAGAAAACCATTGTATATTTATGGATATTTGTATAGAGTTAAGTACTTGACTCCCTGTTTTCTCAGTTGTGTCGGCAGCCGACGAAATCTCTGCATGGATACATAGGACTCGGTCGACTTTCGCTATCTGTGGCGCCGCCGCATTATTTAATTACCCATTAAAGGTCGAGTGTACTGTGCTGCCATACGCTCTGTTCTATCGTATATCTGCGAAACATTGTCATTAAAGGTAGAAGACATGAAAAGGTTTTTGATGTTTGACCATCGTTGCGTAGACCGTGTGTCGTAGTGCTGTCGCGTCAGTAATGCAGAAGTCGAGTATACAGTTTTAGGCAGAAGAGGAAATTCAGTTAGTATAGTTGTGCACCTTCGACTAAGATGGCTGGGAAATCTGTCACGCATCCCCTGTCACCGTCTGCCTCCTCGCGTGATGTTGGCTGAAGTAAGTTAAGGCTGAAGACGGCCAGACTGGAACATGACATCACTGCATAAAATCTTTGACTGTTGGTTTGAGCCATGTAGGGAGATTCGTTCTAGCCGGTTGGGATCCACGTAACAACAAAAACCAGTGGTTGGGAACTCTAGATGATGTAGCTCAGAATCGATGTCATTGAGGCAGATGTATCCACACTTGATCTTTATCTCAACCGTTATACTGAATTCAGCAATTTTTCACTCCTCCTTCCTCTCTTTTACTGCTTTCTACTACTTTGACCGGTTTTTCTTTATTTCTCCATCTTTCGTCTTACTGTTTTGTTAATTTTTTTCGCTCATGTGAGTTTGAAGTAGGTGGGTTGTTTCCACTTGGGACTTATTGGTGTAATATCAGTTCGACAAGCCACGTTTTTACTTGTTCGAAGGAAGCATTTCAAGTCGTTACAATTGTCAGTAGCTAAAAAGGTGTCGAGCATGGGCATATTCCATGGGGAAAAAGCCTGTTGTCAGCCTTGTACAAGTCACTCAGTGACCCTGGATGGTTAACATTTTAGAGCCCATAGAAGGTTTGTAGGTAATATCTGAGATATTCTGTGCAACTGCACTATGTTCATTTTACCATGTTAACCAGTCCTGGATACTTCTTCAGCGCTGGCGCTGATTTAGGACCTACTGGCTAAATAACTCTTACGTGTTAACTATATTTTAAGGTTCACCATGGTGCCCAGTTCTAGACATTGAACTTCAGTCTGTGATGAGAAAACCTAAGCTAGTGAAAAGAGATATATTTCTTACTCCAAAATTTGGAAATCGAGTGAATTTTCTATTATTTTATTTAGAATATAAGCTAAAAGATATTCTGAATTTCGCGCTTGCCAAAAATTAGCAAACTGCCCACTCGCTTCCAGTTGGTGGTTTCCAGATCAAAGACTCACTGTACCTCGGTAAAATCTCCCCTTCTGCACCGACTTCATAGTCTGCATTGTAACTATCACTTCTCAGTTTGTGTGAGGGCCAAGATCTATCCTAGACACCCAAGCGAAAGTAGCTTGTTATTTTAAGGCACCACTGTGAGATTTTTGACTTAGGTCATAGTAGGTAATGCAGTTGGGCAACTTGGAAGCTGAATTCTCATGGTGGTTGGTGATCAAGGTAGGTTCTTATGTCATTCAAATTTTCTGCATCTCGAAGTCCATATAAATCATTGGTTTGAAATCAGGGCCTGTCAGCTCCCCTAGTTGAACTGTCAGTTTAGTGATTAGCGTCAAACATTCACTTTCACCCTTTCAATTTTATGGATACACCCTCGCCACGTCAATGCTGTGAGTAGCGCTTACCTCAAAACACTTAGGGCATCGTCATGAGCATCTGTAGTCATTGTCATCATCATTATCAACATAGGACCAGGCATTACTGCGTAACGGTCCGAGTTGCCACACCTCATATCAGCACATCAAGTAAAAAGGTAGTGAGGTGAAGGATGAAGATAAGTGAATGCAGTCAAAAGAAATATAAAGTACGAGAAGAAAGGAAAGAGGAGTGACAAAATAGTGAGATTCGGTATAGCGTTGTTAAGATGAGGATAATGTGTGTATACATCTGCGCCACTGACTTCGGTTCTGAGCCATATCACCTAGGGTCTCCAACCACTGGTTCCTCTTGTCCCGTGGACCCCAACCACCTAGTCTGCATCGTCCTACATGGCTTAAACCAACAGTCAGAGACTTCATACATTGGTGCCATGTTTTAGTCTGGCCACCTCGGGCCTTTTTCCAGCCTGAACCCACCTCAGCCAACATTGTGTGACGAGGCAATCGGTGACTAGGCATACGTAGTACGTGTCCCAACCATCTCAGTCGATGAAGGTTCACAACCTCGTCGACTGACTTACCTCTTCTCCCTAAAACTCTACACCTAACTTCTGCATTACTCACATGGTGACACCACGGAATACGTCCTATACTACGAAGGCAACGGTGGTCAAACACCTGAACCCTTTTTGTAGCTTCCACTTTCAATGGCCATGTTTCACAGCCATACAGTAGAACAGAGCGGACTGCTGTGCAGTACACGCGACCCTTAATAGACAAACGAATATCACGGCGGCGCCATAGGTGGCGCAAATTGGCAAAAGCCAATCGAGCCTTTTGTATCCGTGCAGAAATCTCATCGGCAACTAACCCACCGGAGTTGATCCTACTTCCCAGGTAAGTGAAGTGGTCAACACACTCAACCACTTCACTCTCTATTGTTAACCGCGGTACCGCTGAAGACCAGTCCTGGAGCAAAAATTTGCATTTGGGTGGTGAAAATCGCATCCCAAACATTCTCAAATTCCCACTCAAAGTGTTCAGAAGACTCTGCATCTTGTCAGCGTCTTCACCTAACAGGACTATGTCATCTGCATATTCTAGATCTAAGGAAAATTCACCTGTGATCGGGTCAACGTCTTTGTAATTAGGTGACGAGAGGGAAACCTCCATAAGAATATCTATGATAAAATTAAATAAGAATGGGGATAGTGGGCATCCTTGACGGACACCACTTGATGAGTATAGCTCCCTGGACAACTCACCATAGGCTCTAACATGCCCACAAGTGTTCGAGTAGAGAGCTTTCAATAAGGTGATGTACTTACTAGGCACGCCTTTCAGTGACAGACACTGCCATAAGACTTCTCGATCAACGGAGTCAAATGCCGCCTTCAGGTCGAGAAATACAGCTATTGTCGGGCGTCTGTAAGCATGCCTATGTTCCAGGACCTGGCGCAGTGTGAATATTTGGTCGATACATCCACGGCCAGGTCTAAAGCCTGCCTGGTTTTCTCGGGCTTGCTGTTCCCGAGCTCCACTCAGGCGTCGGAGAATTATAGAACTTAGGATCTTAGACACTATGTTTGTCAGGCTGATTCCTCTGTGGTTATCACAAGAGGACTTCTCGCCTTTCTTGAAGACTGGGATGATGAGTGACTTAGACCAGTCGGAGGGGATCGTATTTGATTCCCATATACTGGCTAACACTTCCGTTAGCCTGACTAAGAGAACTCTACCACCATTCTTGTATACCTCAGCAGGTAGTCCGTCTGGTCCTGCTGCCCTTCCCGTTTCAGGCTACCTACCGCTTTCTCAACTTCTTCTAGTGTTGGGGGACCTGTCTCTATGTCCCATTCAGGGTCCGACTGGATAGCGGGCAGCGCAATGGTGGCTGGAGGCCAGTTAAACTGTTCCTCAAAGTGTTCTGCCCATCGTCCCAGTCGCCTTCCCTGCGAGTGAATCGCAGATCCGTCCT